ACCAACTTCTAAGCCAGCTTACTCGGAATCGAGTTCCAGAACACTTTCTCCCGTTCCAAGTAGATCCAGGCGGACCAGTCCTGATTTATGCTCCACCACTGCTCTCACAAAAATAACTGCAACGAGTGATGATAAAAGTAGTTCAACTACACTTCCACAAAAGGGAAAGCGCAATTCAGTGTCGCATTCTCGTCTAAGAAACGGCCACACACCAGCTCCGCATACACCAGTACAGAAGCCACACCACACGCGATCGTCTGTTTCACAAAAATCAGGTACCTCAATGCGCGGAAGAAGTGTGGGTGCTGCTACGTATGTGACCACAGATGTGTTGGCAAAGCACAGACGTCCGAGCTCAACCAAACGTGGAGGCAGAGTATCAGCAAAGGATGTTTATCCAATGAAGGAGAAAGGCGTTAAGAGAGGAGGTAGGAATCACACGGAGATGAAGTACCTGACCTACGTACCAGGGAAGGGAATGGTAAAATCGACCAGGAGCAATGATGGAAATCTCTACTCCCTTTCAAGACGCAATGTCTCTTCCAGTGCCTCATCATCTTCATCCTCATCATCATCCTCTTCCACGTCAACAACAAACTCTGTGGTGAAACCTAGACTTTCCGAAATTGCTCCAATCCATCGCTTAAACAACAATTTCTTAAATATTAGCAGCGGCAGCAGTAGCAACAACAGTTCTAGCAAAAGCAGCACCTCAACCCTGTCTTCCTCCATCATTTTGGCTGAAACGGTGAAAGTATGGAATTATCGCAACCGCTCTGCGTCTAGTTCCACATCATCCTCTACGAATATGTATACCACCATAATGTATGAATCTATCAATAGAAGACAGTCAAGATCCTGATCAACTGAATGTATCATGCGTCCGACCTGTCACCTTAGAAACAGGCCTTTGGCCTGTAGATGAAGATCACAAATTGAAATACAGATTGTAAATATTTCACTTTGATTTCTTGTTTTGTCTTATTTTTAACCTATTATGTTATTTTGTCTCAAGAGTAAAAAGGAAAAAAATATCTTTTTCAAAGCACAATTTATGTTTTCTATGGGTGTTATGCTCACCAATGATGTAGTGATATTTTACTCAGTCAGAGTGTATATTCATAATGTTGTAGAATTGAGAGGCATCAAATTATTGCAGTCGGAATGTCATAATCTGAAGTAAATAATTTTTAATGTAGGATTTAAAATCATCTGGGTGAGAGGCTGAGAAAATTGTGCTACTGACCAATTGTAAAGTAGACCAAGAATTAACCAAGGCATTTTCATTAAGGCAATAGTCAATGTTGATTTTGACATCTTGAAATCTTTTAGTTATTAAGTTAAATCTTTCTGTATATTTTAAACTAGAGGAAATTATTTTAACAATTCCATTAACTTAAACAAATACCTCCTACTCATCACGAGATGTTGTAAATGTCTCCACTTTAGGGGGCAAAATCGTACCTCAAATACTTTTTAAAAAAAGGTGTTCCATGAAATCACTTGGATATAAAATGCAGTGTTAATGTTCAAAAAAATATTTAAAAGTCGTTAAAGATATTCAGATACAATTGCATTAAAAAATAACTTATTTAAACTTTGAAGTATTATATTCGACTCACCGGTTGCAAAAGTTGCATAAAAATATAGAGAAATATTCTTCAGAGGTGACAAATATTTCCTGGAGACTACAAGTGTTTCTTTCCTAAGCCGAAGTGTCACCTATTTTCTTGCTTATCCAGGAGAACAGTGGCATTGCTCACGACACTTCCACCGTATTTCAACGAATAGAAATTCAACAATTAGGTTAGCATGCAAAGGCACAGCTGGGTACCATAAAAAACGAGTTTTGATTACCATTCTTTTAAGAACACATTTACAAACTCCTTTATGTGACTGCTTGCTTATTACAATAAACTCAGTGATTCTGTGATATGTAATCCATATTTGGTACATTTACAACAGTAAGGCTTTACTAGATTGCAATTGAGTGGGTTTTATAAATTTTACAAAATATCTTTTAAGTTTCTCAAATTTTCGAGAAATAATAACAAATTATCAAACTTGCATTAAAGTTGGATAGAGATTTATGTGAGAAACTGCCTTTCTCTCAAGCAATAGTACAGTATACTTCCAGGTCCAAACTATGCTTATGACTAAACAAATTGCTTGGAAATTCTTTCAGTCTTTAGAGTAATTTAAAGGAAGATTAAGCGTTCGTCTTCTAAGTTATATTTCCACCAAAATGATAAAACCCCTACAACAGAGCTGT